TCAATTATTTACATCCCAAATACCCAGTCATGAGGCTGATGTTATAGACAGGTTTCCTGTTGATTTCACACCCACGCTACCTGTAGGGAGCCAGGGTGGCTTCCCTCCGAACCAGAGGGTAAAGAGCCACCCTGTCAGCCTGAATGGGCAGGGCCAGACCAAGCTTACGCCAATCCCCAGAAGGGAAGGGTGGGACAGGAAGTACAAAGGGCGGGGCCCTTTGCCCAGTGAGAGAAGTACCAGGAAGGGAGACAGACACAGGCTGCTCCCTCCAGACCCTGCTGCCGACCCAGGGGAGGGGCCAGGAGGAACCTGACCAGGGGGAAGGCCTGTGGCGACCAGGACTGCCAGCCGCTGAGTACCCGGGGGACCTGGAGGGGCCCGGCTGTAACCCAGGCCAGCGTGAGCCTGACACAGAGGGGGAGCTGGAGCTGCCAGCAGCTGAATACCCGGATGAGCTGGAGGGACCAGAGAGGCCCGCTTGAGAGACCAGGTAGGAAGTAGCCCAGGGGCAGAACTGCACCGTGGGGTGGGTGTATTTGGTCAGCAGGGCGCAGATGGCCCCCCGCTGACCCAGCGGCGGGACCTTCGCCTCCCGCTGCTGTCAGGGCCCTGGGCTGGAACGCAGTGGAGTTGGGTGGGCCTGCGTTTCCCTACCCCGGCCAACCTGCCTTGGGTAGCAGACTCGCGCCGGCGTGCCCCGGGGCTTGAGGGGTGCGCTACGGGCTCCGGCCGGCACACCTTTTCTGCTAATTCCCCAGCGCCTGAAATGTGTGACTAAGGCCTGCCCGCGGGACCCTAGCTCTCCATCGCCCCCTCGGGGCTCGGTGGACTGATTGAAACCTGTCACGCTACCCTATTGACTTTGATGTGACTTCCCTGTGGCACTTAGGGGGCTAACTTCCAGTTTCGGGACTACTTCAATTCACAAAACTCCTGCTGAATCCTATAGGCATCTAAACTCACTTAGTGCTTACATTTTTGCAGTAAAAGTTCCTAGGTACCTATGTTTCTGCCTGTGGACAGATGCAGTGCTGCCACTAGGTGCCTGTAGGTTTATTTCCCACCCAAGTCCCGAGCGATTCACAAACTGGGGGACGACAGACGTTCAGCTGCCAAAGTTGTTTGCAGGACCCGATCCAGTAGTTGCACTCTAAGCATGCCTACTGGATCAGGCCCCACAGGCAAAGTCACACAATATGGCAGCAGTAGGCCCTCCCTCATAACTTCTAGCCTAGTGGTTAGGGTAGTCACCTGGGATATGCCTGAGGGGAAGAAAGGATTTGAACAGAGATCTGCCACCTCTCAGGTGAGTGCTCTATCCACTGGGATAAGGCTGATGTGGGGCTGTCTCACTCTCTCCTGTTGAAACTGTTCCACTAGACAAAGACTTAAAGAGTCACTGGAGTAGGGATCCTGGATCTCCTCCATCCTGTTGAATGCTCTAACCAGGTTAGAGAGTCAGTCTCATGTGTGTGCTGTCACTCACTCACTCTCTGTGCCTGGCCCAAATGACACCAAGTATTTATCCACAATGCAACAGCGTCAATAGAGATTCAGGGCACACACACACTGCCATCAGGATGTTCCATAGCCCAGTTGTTCAGGCACTCACCTGACAGGGGATAAAGTCCATCCTTTCTCCCTGTCAAGTGGAGGGGGACTTGAACTGGACATATCTCACTGGCTGCCTTAGACAGCTCCCTGCCTAATGTGCTGGCTTTTGTGAATTGCAGGGTAAGGCACCTATCTCTCCCTATTCATTGTACATGAGTCTAGGTGCCTGACTCAGGCTTTGTGAATTGCAGGGATTTTCTAGACATTAAGGTGCTGTGATGCTCAGAGTCACAACACCTAACTCCTTTTCTGTGCCCTGGCATATGTGACTTCTGTAGGACAATATAGAACGTAAATGAGCACAAATGTTGGCCCATTGTTCTTTATATTAAATTAATTCCACCTCATTTACATGTTCCTGTTTCTTTGGTGTCTCTCATTTTGGGTGTTTGTCCTCTCTTTGGACACTAGCAGGCGATGCTGGGTTGCAATCAGCAGACACTCTGCCAGGATTCACAGTAATGAGCTTTGCATCTTAATTAAAAATATTACTAACAGACCAAAAATTGTATGGTGCAGCTCCCACTATCTGACCTCATCATTGTCAGTTCAGGCGGGAAGGGACTGACAGTTTGCAAGGCATATGGGTCAGAAAAGGTGATATATCGCAGTAAGCACTTATTAACCCCTCACACACAATTTGGTTTTACAATCTTGTGCAAAACATACTAAAAATCACACTTCCCCAACGCTTCCATCAAAATGGGTTCAAGTGTAATATGCACAAGAGCTTTGACCTGGAAACAAATGTTTGGTCATTCTACTTATAACAGTACAAAGAACAAGGATTGGGTAAATATTGTGGACTTTTCCAAACAGCTCAAATGGCTTTGGGAATGTGAAAAAATGTTTTGAGTTTACAACCATTTTTCAAGCCCAAATTCTAACCCTCAAGCTTTCCCCACACTTCAACAATGACTCAGTTTTGAGAGACAAAACATTTTTGCTACCTAGGTGAAGTTTGAGCTTTATATGACCACCCACCCACCCCAAAGCAATCTAAGCTCGCATAAACCTCAGAATTATATACTTGCTGAGCCTGATTCTACTTTCAATTCACTGGCATATGTCACTAATAACTCCACACTGTAAACTGGCATAAGAGAATAATCAGGCCCAGTGGATTTATTTTTTGCATTATAATTTCCTCTCTTTTTCCCAAATAATATACACTCTGAGCAGAAGTTTTGAACCCACAATGCTTGAATGGGTTTGAAATAAAGCAAAACAAGTTTGTCCACACCTAGCAGCGGCTCCAAAAAACTGTTTTTAATGCCTTGCAAACGCTTATACTTCACTTGCTTGCAAGATCAGGGCCTAAGTATCTGTGAAGCTATCACAGAGCATGTGAAGGCCATTGGATTGGGTAGTTTATTTTTCAAGTTCAATCAACACATTTTCACAATACTGAAACTAAATTCCTCCCACTGATTTGAGGATCTTCAGGTGGACAGGCAATCAAAGATTAACTTGTGGTTGCCACCTTGTGGCTGACGAAAAAAATACATAAAAATGACAAAGGTACAGTATCACACCTTTATGTAAATAAATGGACAGTATATATATTGAATTAGCAAGATCATTTTCCTATTACTAGCAAAACCAAACATCTGCTAAACACAGGAAGCTAGGCTACAAAGTTATCAGAAAGTTAACATATTACTATTGTTTCATATACATCACATTTATGGCCTGATTTTCAGGAAGCCTGAACGCCCAAACATCTCCCTGATGTCTATGGGAGCTGCAGATATTCGAAACCTTTGAAAATCACGCCATTAAACGACATCGTAGAAATTTTATCTATTTTACAGACACAGAAAAAGGCACTGTACACTGAATATTACAAACCCCTCTCATCAAAAACACCATGAAAAAGTTCTGTAGCTAGTACTAGATCCTCGAAATAACAGCGTCAAGATGTAAATTGCCCCAGAAACAGCAGTGACCATCACATACAAAGGGAGCATGCAGGGGTTTTGATTTTTAAGGTAAAGTTTAGGAAATATGAAGTTAAGTGGGCAAAAATAGCCAGGTTATTGAAGGATATATATAAGGCTACTGTACTTGTTTTGTGGCCATTTTTCTTATATGACAGGTCCAGCTCACAAGGATGAATTAAAGTTAAAATCAGATCCTATATGCAGTACTATTTATAAGCCAAGTCACTCCTCTATCTTATAAAAACAGAAATTCCCACAGTATGGGGTCAGAGGGAAGAAAACATCAATGAGCCTCTGCATGTATCCCTTGAGTCCCATGTTGAACATGATGGAGGCAGGGGGACATTCACACAGATGCTCCCACTCCATTCTGCTTCTACACCTCCTCCATGCTATTCTTCACTGCTCTTCTATCAGTACCGTGCTCTTCCCTTGTGACCCCTGCTCTTGGGTGGGGGTTCTACAGTGTGAACATTCTTTATTCAGAAGTTGAACTCCAGGCTGTATTGACTTCCAGGTCAATTTCCTGCCGAGGTGTGTGTGATGTACAGGAGCCTAGAAAGTGTGTGTGGTTGGGGGGAAGGTGGAGGAAGGGTGCTGATAAGGCATCTGACATCCTCCATTCCACATGAGAAGGAGGAGATCCATACATAGAGGATTTTCTTTGCATATAGATCCTTGTGAGATGTTCTGGCCTTTTCACGTTGACATGCTCTGGTGTGACTTTTCTGCTCTTAAGGTCAATATGGTGAGGTGTTATGCACCTTCAGGTCCCTCTGAATCCAACAAGAATGGAGGACGCTCAGCACCTTGTAGCAGGTATTCAACATCTTCTAGGACTGAGGCCATATCTAAGAAATCTTAATGATATAAGGCTTGATCCAAACCCCATTCAAGCCAATAAGATTTTTTACATTGACTTCAATGTGCTTTGGATCAAGCCCATACAGAGTTATTCAATATGGTGGAGAGTAATTAGGGGAGTGAAGGCTGGGGCAGGATACAGAGTTACAAGTATAAGTAACTGTATAAGTAGGGGCATAGCGAGCAGATCGAGGGACGTGATCGTTCCCCTCTATTCGACATTGGTGAGACCTCATCTGGAGTACTGTGTCCAGTTTTGGGCCCCACACTTCAAGAAGGATGTGGATAAATTGGAGAGAGTCCAGCGAAGGGCAACAAAAATGATTAGGGGTCTGGAACACATGAGTTATGAGGAGAGGCTGAGGGAGCTGGGATTGTTTAGCCTGCAGAAGAGAAGAATGAGGGGGGATTTGATAGCTGCTTTCAACTACCTGAAAGGGGGTTCCAAAGAGGATGGCTCTAGACTGTTCTCAATGGTAGCAGATGACAGAACGAGGAGTAATGGTCTCAAGTTGCAGTGGGGGAGGTTTAGATTGGATATTAGGAAAAACTTTTTCACTAAGAGGGTGGTGAAACACTGGAATGCGTTACCTAGGGAGGTGGTAGAATCTCCTTCCTTAGAGGTTTTTAAGGTCAGGCTTGACAAAGCCCTGGCTGGGATGATTTAACTGGGATTTGGTCCTGCTTCGAGCAGGGGGGTTGGACTAGATGACCTTCTGGGGTCCCTTCCAACCCTTATATTCTATGATTCTATGAAGTGATTCTTGTTAGCTGTGATCTAGGTCAGTGGTTCCCAACATTTTTGGGCAACTGTACCCATGTACCAAATAGTTCCATTGCGCCAGTTAGCAATTTCCTCTTCTCCCTAGCCCCACGACCAGCATCAATCTTCTCTGACAATTTTAAAGATAATCTCCAGACTCTGTAGTAAGCACTGCCACTGCCCACTCCCATGTAGCTCTGTGCCCTCTAACCTGCAATGTCCATTACACTCTAGAGGACTTCAAATCCCAGAGTATGCTAAATTTTGGAAGATTGGGATTTGGACCTCCACGGCTGGTTAGCTTGCCCATGTGATGGGAGAGGGGTAGCAGTGGTTCAACAGGACCATAATACTTATATAAAGGGGTTAGGCTTTGAATTCACTAGTACAATAAAAAGCAGGGACTACTAGACTGGAACATCAATGTTAAATTGATGGGAAACTGACCACAAGCAAAAGTTAATTTCATTGCGCAAGATGAGGGAAATGCAGGAAAAAAAACACATGTACAAATAGAAAAAAGCAAATTGGTTTTACATTTTTAAATGTTAATCATTTGAGGTATTATTGGTAATGTAGATAAGGAAATGTTTGGTGCTTAAAAATATTTGGGGCCCAAATTCTGTTTAGTTTGAACTCAGAGTAACTCCATTTAAGATAATGACGTTATTGTAGGTTTATATCAGTTTACCTGGAAGCAGAATCTCCCCCTACATTTACAGTGAAACCTCAGAATATTCATTTCAGAAGGAAATAAACAGCTAGAACCTTGGGTTCCCTAAACTTGTAATAAATCACCTTAGTAAAATATTCCAAATCATGATAAATTTGATGTTCAAAAAAATCTTTGAATTTTAAGATTATCTGCAAAAGGTGTTCTTGACATTAACATAAGCATAATGTAACAACAATAAAAAACAGGAATGATTTTAAAATCAAACACAATAAATTCAGTTCAATAAAAACTGGTCTGTTCCTTTTCTACTTGTGATCCTGAAGGCTATATCCCTGAATGAAAAGTCCGGAAAATGTATACAAAATGAGTGAAGTGTGTACTTTGAGCCTGTGCATAAATGATTGCATTCATCGTAGGCCCAGTATGTGCACAAGCTAAAATGGAAGTAGAGGTGGAAAACAAAAAATGGCTTCCATATCAAATTCAAGTAAGGGCTGGAGAATAAAGTCCAAATCTCACCATCTGCTGGTCTGTGGAGGAACCATTATGCCTTTAAGGAACAGGCTGAAGCCTACAACCAAACTAGTTTGGGTGTAATCAAGGTCCCCCTGCCCTGGGGTTGAGTTACTTAAACAAGAAAAGGAACTGGAGCAGGATGAAGGGGGTTAGAAGCTATGTAGGCTGTGGTCTCAATGCCTCCTCTTGGGCAAGACCAGAGAGTTTGTTTCCTTACTAACTTTGGAGGCTCTGAACCAGGGATCTGAGGTAAGGACCTTATGAACTCTGTTAAGATTGCTTCTTTCCCTGAGACCTTCTTAAAGGGGATATTTGCTTTGTTAGTTTGTTTTGGTCTGGATCCATTACATGGTGCTAAAAATAAATAATGTAAGAATTGTTGTTTAGAGAAAACACAACACTTTAGTTCTATAAATGGGGAAAGGAGGCTTTGCTAGGAATAACAGGAGACCAGACTTTTGTGTTTATTAGGCCAAACTGGTGTTCAGTAATTTAACAAGTGTTATGACTTACACCAGTGGCATCACCATTCTTACCTGCTTGATGAATTTATTTGGCGTCCTGTGACAGATTCAGATACTACGGAATACAAGCTTTCATTTAAAAACAAAGCTTTCCAGCCCTTCCAGCGTAAACTACCATAGCTCTGTTTAAAGCAGATTGAAATGGTTCTTAGAGGTGTAGACTGCCACACTGATCTCAATGCTAAAAGCTAAGGACTTTAATAGCAAATTTTCTTTTAAAAATGTCAGTGCCAACTTGTATCTGGATACTTAACTTGTGTAACTGTGTATGCAAACGATCAAATAAGTGCAGTTTATATAGTCACTTTTCAGAGGAGAATCTTGTTTCTCGTAATACTCACTGAAAGACAGATTCCTGGTTTTACTGGAATTTGGCTTTTAAAATAAGTATTAATGATTATGGCCCTGCTCCTGCACACCTTCACTCATGTATGTAATCCTTACTCTTGAGTACTTTCACTGACTTCCAGGGAATTACTCATGTGAGTAAAGGAGTACTCATACAAATGAACGTTTACAGGATTGGGCCCAAAGGATGAAACTCACCCTTTGGACTCAAGACCCTTTAAGCCAAAAGGCGGAGTGTCATGCTCGCTCTGAAAAAAGATGGACCAGCAGATACAAGGGTTGTACTGCAGCTTGCTGGTAGTACCCCCTCTAATAAAGCCAATTTATTTGATTTTTGGGCACAGGCACTTCACCTTAGCTGACTACATGCAGTCATGACATGCAACTACAGTAGTTTTAAAAATAATTGCAACCTGGCTTGATTATTAAAAATGGAAAGACTATGATATCTTAAAGTGATTTTTCTTCCATCATTCTATCAGAGATGCACATGTTTGGCCTAGAGTTGACTAGGAAGACAACATTAAAAATCACTCAAACTATTCCTGAGCATATGACTTCATTTGGAATGTACCGTAAAATATTCTATTTTATTACTACTTTTATGAACATTCATCTTTCCAAAGTACTTATAAATACATGCTATAAAAGTTTACAGAGCTGAAGTCAGGCAACACACAATGTCAAAAAAGAAACAACTCAGCATTTTAGATAGCGAGTTCAACCAATAGCAACATAATTTAAATAGCTTAATTTGTTCTCTTGTATTTACAGCTTCTTAATGTAAACCATAATAGGCAAGAGCTACTGAAGAGTCATGACTTAGTCACATGTCAAGTAACAGCTCTGATGCTTGTCCCTGGAGCAGAAGTTTAGCATCTGCTATATAAATATTTTCTTCTTTAAAAATAAGTATCAAACTTTTTTCAGATTTTTTTCCTTTGTTTTGAAAAGGCAGGGCTGTATCCTCAGCTGCCGTAAATCTGTGTCATTTCCTGGGCTTGGAATTACACCAGCTGATGATCTCATCCTACAATTCTTTGGTAGCTGTTACGCTAATCTCTCTACTTTCCTGTCTTTCACAGAATTCCACTCTCCCAAAACAAACACTGTAGCCCAAATATGGTCCTGAAACAGTGCACAATCCTGGCTGTAGAGTTACTTTCTGCAGATTCACATTACAGCAGATTTCATGATATGGAGTCATTTCACCCACTCCTGAAATTGGAACCCAAACAAGGTGAAGTAGAGTGGACTGCAGGCCAGTGCTACGGACTGTAGGTGGAGATGTATGTAAGCGATTGAAAAGGGGCTAAAGATGTATCAGTGCTTCAGCAGAAAGCATGTAGAACACATCATGTTAAACCCTCTCCCCAGTAGCCTGATTTTCAACGGGAGCTGCAGAGCTCAGCACATTCGAAAATCAGGCCACAATCTAATGGGATCCATCATTTTTCCTTATTCTTCAAACCTTGTAGGAGATGTGGAACTGATCAGAAAGTACAGAAGTTTCATCTAGAAAGTTTGTGTGAAGAGGGAGAGGAAATCGCAACAGAGCCATAAGCCAGTTGTCCGGTTCTCAGACATTTTCCGAGTAGGCTGGAAAAAGGGCCTTGAGTATAAATGATTGGGAGAGGGGGGAAAGGTTCAGGCAACACAAAAGGCTTAAGAGATCATTATAGATGCCATACATATGAGCCTGAAGGTTTCCTCAGCCATTTTATGTGGGACATTCTGGACAAGAAAGGAGTAACCATAAAATCAATCTACAGCTGTCCCAGATCGACTAGAAAAATGCTACACCAAACCCTCCATCGTTTCTATCCACTGATCACTTTGTTTTAGCCAAAGAAATTCTTTAGAGCTAGGGAAAGCAATGCCACAAGACACAGTAACTTCAAAGGTATAGGGCAATGGTTACTTCTGTGTCTTTGGTCTAGAAATTGAAATAAATGTGTAATTACCATAATTCTTCAGCTACCTTGCTCCTGACAACTGTCATCTCTCCCGGCTGACCAGGTAGGAGAAATCACACTAAAGAAAGATATGAAAAAGACAGACTCCAGTTACCAGGGACAGGTGTCCATGTCATGAAAGCCACCACCACAAATGGCAGCCCCAGCAATGAGAGGGAAGAATGGTCTGAAACACTGAATCACCACAGTGGAGACAGACCTTGAGAGGAGGGCTGAAAGGGGAAGACTGCCACTCTCACTGCCCAGGCTGTGTAGACCAATAGCTTCATTCCCTAGGGCTGTCAGTTCACCTCTCACCAGCATGACAGTCACATCCTCTTTTTAAAGCTATGAAAGAGGAGCTGATTGAAGTGAGAAGTCTGGAATAGCTGTGCTTTAACTCATTCCTGCTCCTGGGAAATGGTAACATTACTCCACTGGGCCTAATTTTGCTTCCAATGTTGGGGGGGCGGAAATATTTTCAAGGGTTGTTTGAATCCAATTATTGTCACACGTAAGAATGTGATTTTATGTAGACAAGACCAGGCTGTTGTCTTACAACAAACTTATCTTTACTGGAAAGGGAAGAGATGCATTTTTTCTCTAAACCATTGTGGGCCCAGTCCTGCAAACTATTCAGTAACTTCAACCTCCATTGCCATCACTAGGAGCTGAGAATGAACAGGAGCTTTCAAGATAAAGGGCCCAATCACAAGAGAGTGAACAGAAGAATGGCCATATAGGGTCAGATCTGTAGTCCCATCTAGCCCAGTATCCTGTCTCTTGACAGTGGCCAGTATCAGAAGCTTCAGAGGGAATGAACAGAACAGGCCAATTATCACGGGATCCATCCCCTGTCATCCAGTCCCAGCTCCTGATAGGCAGAAGCTTAAGGGCACCCAGAGGACAGGGTTGTGTCCCTGACGTTCTTAGCTACTGGCCATGGATGGGCCTATCCTCCATTAATTTATCTAATTCTTTTTTGAACCCAGTTATACTTCTGGCCTTCACAACATCCCCTGGCAACGAGATCCACAGGCTGACTGTGCACTGTGGGAAGAAATACTTCCTTATGTTCATTTTAAATCTGCTGCCTATTAATTTCACTGGGTGACCCCTGGTTCTTGTTTGTGAAGGGGCAAATAACACTTCGTTATGCACTTTCTCCACACCATTCATGATTTTATAGAAGTTTATCATATCCCCCGCTTAGTCATCTCTTTTCTAAGCTGAACAGTTCCAGTCTTTATAGTCCTTCTGATATGGAAGTAGTTCCATACCCTTAATCATTTTTGTTGTCGTTCTCTGTACTTTTTCCAATTCTAAATAATTTTTTTGAGATGGGATGATGTGACGGGATATACCAAACCCTCTGTGGTCCCCTGTTGGAGGCCTCATGGCCCAGCCACACCCTGCCCCCAAAAAAGGGCAGTGGAGAGGGTCCTCCAAGCTGCCTAGAGTGGATGTGTGGGATACAACCAGTCAGGGCCCAGCAGCCTCGTATAAGAAGAGCTGCAGAGCCAGAGGGAGATCAGTTCCTTGCTGGAGTTGTAGGAGTGTGGGTGATATGTGGTGGGCTGACAAAGCTACAGAACCCCGGACAGGGCAGCGCTATCGTAAGTTGGGGAGAGTGAGAAGGAGCTATGAGCCGGTTGCTGGGACTCCATTAGGACAAGGCCCTGAGGTAAAGGTGAAGACAGCATGGGGAAGTGGCCCAGGGAATTATAGAAGCCATACAACATAGTTAAAGGGACACAGCAGATGGCTGCGATCTACAGGATTCCTGGGCTGGGACCCGGAGTAGTGAGTGAGCCTGGGTCCCCCCACCTCATCCCCCATCAGCCACTGGGGGGAAGTGGCCTGGACAGTGAGGCACCCCAGAGGGGGAACTGAACTATAGTGACCCAGATGGAGAGCTGCAGCCAGGAAGTCCCAAGAGGGCAAAGACATTGTCTCCAGGGTGGGAGCCCTGGGGTGCTGCTCTATCCCAGAGGAGGGACTATCAGAAAGCGAGAGTGTGCAAGTGTGTGCACTTGGCCAAGGGGGCACTGACGAGAGGTGAGTGCACTCTGTTACAGGTGACCAGAACTGCAGTATTCCAGGTGTGGGAGTACCAGGGATTTATATAGTGGCATTATGATATTTTCTGTCTTATCTGTCCTTCTCCAAACAGTTCCTACCATTCTATTAGCTTTTTTGTCTGCCACTGCACACTGAGCAGATGTTTTCAGAGAACTAACCAGGATGACTCCAAGATCTCTTTCTTGAGTGGTAATAGTTCAAAACGTGAAGAGGGTCACCTTCTAAATGACACAAAACAGCAAGACCTACAAGGTGGACTTTAAGGAAAACGGTCTAACACTACAACAAAGGTAGCTGTATAAAAATATCCAGGCCATATTCTTTGCCTGTACCTAGATGAGCAGATGTCAATCCTTTAGCAGTGGTATGATTTTAACTAGTAGAATCTCTTCTGACTCGGAAGATTACTTCAAAACATTCTCTTCTCTCTGCTCCTCACAGTCCGATTTCCTGCTCTTCCCTCATGAATGAGAGACTTTGACTTTGCATAGATGAGCCTGGCCAGTTCCATTATCTTTTAAAATCAACTAAGCTCTTCTCCATCAGAAAGAAAAGCAAATCTGTTTCCCCTTATACGACACACATGTGTGTCTGCTCAATGGAGAATGTATGGATTTGATTCTTCTCTCACATACACCAGTGTAAATCAGGAGTAACTCCACTGAAGTCAGTGAAGTTACATGGGTGTCAGTGTGACAAGAAATCAGACATTTAATGTTTTCCTAACCTTAATAGATAGAATCCTCTTACATAAGCAAGTGTCAACCCTTTGAGGAAAGACCAGTGGAAGACATTTGCCTTCAGAGAAAAATATTACCTGTTGGCCCAGTTTAAGATCCAATGTGCAGAAATTTGCATCAAGAACAATTTTCTACAGGATTTCCTGATGGAAAAACCACGGCCCCTCTGCTCTCCAGCAGTCAGCATTGCATTGCCAAATTACTAATAAATGATTCTTCATTATTTAAATGCACATGATGTTTGCTTCACACCATTTGTTTTTAACTTCCGGTCCCCTGTTGGTTTCTTGGAAGGAACATAATTATTAGCATTTCCATTCTTCAGATTTGAACATGCCTGTGTGTTTCTCCCCTGGATGGGGGCAGCTGAACTATGGAACTTGGGGGAGTGTTTGAGGGGTCTAATGTTACCAACATCCTGAATACCAACATCCTGAATCTTAGAGCTGCTTGCACAGGGCTGCATATTGAGAAGTTGCTGCTTGGTGGTTGACCTCTTTTTTACCTCATTCCTCATTTCATAGGCACGTCTCTGTGGGGATGACGTGCCACCCATCACCTCAGCAACTTTTGAGTGACTTGGATATGCATTTAACTGGCTATTTTCTTCACAGTGTACATCTCTTCTGTGACCTGAAAGGCTGATGGGGAGCTTTATAACACTTTCTTGGGGAGTTAACTGCTTGTTAGGCAAAAGGCTATGCAATGATTTGCCTTTGCCAGGGCTTTTTAGGGTCCGAGTGATAGTAGGAGCCGTCTGAGGCCTAGCCTTGGCTGTCTTTCCTTTCTCATTCTGTATAGTTTGCACCTGCAGCCACTCCAGCTGCAAAAGCCGATCGATATATTTCTCAAGAAATCCTGCTGGCTGTGGTCGAGATTCTGATTTACACTCTGTGTTAACAAACATTGCCAGCTGCTGCAGGTCCCAGGAGTTGAAAGGGGGTGGGAGGAAGTCAGGATAATAATACATTGATTCTTTATACCTCGCATCAAAGAGGTGTTCAAAACATGCTGGGTCAATTTCTTCAGCTCGGAGGTTGAGTTCCGGCGGTGTGCAGGGGGAAGGGGGAATGGGAATTCTTTCTGAGTCAGAAAGGTCACTGGCACTGTCCTCAGCAGCATTCTCTTGAATAATTCTCACTGATTCAAAGTCAAGAAGCATCTCATTCACAGAGGTCCCTGGATGTTTAGAAGTGCAAGGGACAGCTTCAGTCACATGCTCTCCAAGACTTCTTTGAGATTCTCCTTTTTGATTGGAATAAAATCTTTGCATCAGTCCATCTTCTTCCCTACTGGAGCCACCTTGTGAATTCCCCTTCAAATTGGAAGGGGTTCTGCATAGTCCAGATTCACTTTGCTTTCTTTCCTTGAGGTCCTTCTTTGCCCCTCGTACTTTGTACAGTGATGTGCAAACACTCATCATTCTATATGAAAAGAGAGAGCATTTACAGTTAGATCATTGAACCCCTTTGGAACTCCAACTACCCCAGGGCTTGCTAACTCCATAGCCTCTGGATCCCCAGTTGTGTCCACAAGCTGAGTCAAAGCTGAAAATGAAAGATAAGAGAAGTGGTATGACTTGAGAATCTATGAATGAGATTAAATTAATATCTGCTGGCAGAAATAACCTTGCCTAATGTCCCATTTCATGGTTTGACCATTTTGATGTACATAACTTACAATATGTGTTTTAGAGTAACAGCCGTGTTAGTCTGTATTCGCAAAAAGAAAAGGAGTACTTGTGGCACCTTAGTGTGGCACATTATTAAGGATCTACAACCTATCCTAAAGGATGACCCAACACTCTCACAAATCTTGGGAGACAGGCCAGTCCTTGCCTACAGACAGCCCCGCAACCTGAAGCAAATACTCACCAACAACCACATACCACACAACAGAACCACTAACCCAGGAACTTATCCTTGCAACAAAGCCCGTTGCCAACTGTGCCCACATATCTATTCAGGGGACACCATCACAGGGCCTAATAACATCAGCCACACTATCAGAGGCTCGTTCACCTGCACATCCACCAATGTGATATATGCCATCATGTGCCAGCAATGCCCCTCTGCCATTTACATTGGTCAAACTGGACAGTCTCTACGTAAAAGAATAAATGGACACAAATCAGATGTCAAGAATTATAACATTCATAAACCAGTCGGAGAACACTTCAATCTCTCTGGTCACGCAATCACAGACATGAAGGTCGCTATCTTAAAACAAAAAAACTTCAAATCCAGACTCCAGCGAGAAACTGCTGAATTGGAATTCATTAGCAAATTGGATACTATTAATTTAGGCTTAAATAGAGACTGGGAGTGGCTAAGTCATTATGCAAGGTAGCTTATTTCCCCTTGTTTTTTCCTACCCCCTTCCCCCCCCCCCCCCCGACGTTCTGCTTAAACTTGGATTTAAACTTGGAGAGTGGTCAGTTTGGATGAGCTATTGCCAGCAGGAGAGTGAGTTTGTGTGTGTGTGTCCCCGGGAAAAAAAAGGGGGGGGTGAGAAGGCCCACCTTGATTATCATGCACATTGTAGGGAGAGTGGTCACTTTGGATGAGCTATTACCAGCAGGATAGTGAGTTTGTGTGTGTGTTTTTGGAGGGGGGTGAGGGGGTGAGAGAACCTGGATTTGTGCAGGAAATGGCCCACCTTGATTATCATGCACATTGTGTAGAGAGTTGTCACTTTGGATGGGTTATTACCAGCAGGAGAGTGAGTTTGTGTGGGGGGGTGGAGGGTGAGAAAACCTGGATTTGTGCTGGAAATGGCCCAACTTGATGATCACTTTAGATAAGCTATTACCAGCAGGACAGTGGGGTGGAAGGAGGTATTGTTTCATGATCTCTGTGTGTATATAAAGTCTGCTGCAGTTTCCACGGTATGCATCCGATGAAGTGAGCTGTAGCTCACGAAAGCTCATGCTCAGATAAATTGGTTAGTCCCTAAGGTGCCACAAGTCCTCCTTTTCTTTTTGCGAATATGTGTTTTATGTAAAGTGCAGGGTATAGGAAAGCAAATTTGGATCTGCAGGAAAAGGCAGGCTCTTGCAAGAAGATCTGAGACAGAAATAAAATAGCTAGGCTTTCCGGGCCCTATCACCAACTGATGTAAACTGATGTAGCTCCCTTGACTTCAACTGAGCTTTGCTAACTTATACCAGCTGAGGAGCTAGCCCTCTGTGTGGTTAAATGGTTAAAAACCAGAAAACTTTTACTCTTAGCTCCTAAACCAGTAAATACAGATGTTAGCCACCATTTGTCCACGGGTATCATGAGGTGAACTGGAGAGATCAGTTTTTAACTATGCTTAGAACAGGAAATAATGGTGGTAAGCATGTGGCTCCTGTTGGGGAATGTTGTCTTTATAAACACATACAACTGACTTTTTTCCCCTCTTGCTGTCTCCTGTTTCATTTGAATCTGATTTTGACTATAAAGCTCTTTGAGGCAGGCTAGCAAGATTCCAATATTGGTAACTAAAATCTGCGTTCCTAATAACTGAACATGAAGGGTGATATCATGGCCTCAATTAAGTCAAAGGCAACACTTCCATTGAATTCAAAGCCAGTATTTCACCTGAAGACTTTTATGTGCAGCTTTCAAAAATCTATGGACCTCAGATAGACAATATAAAAATGTTTACCTGTTTTGCTGATGAGCCTCACCTAGCTTGTTTCTTTCCTTGTAAAGAAAACTTGGTTGACTATCATCCTGGGCACAATGGAAAGTCTAGAAAACATATGTAAATATATGTACCTAAAACTGTAATAAAGAAAAATCTGACATAAAATGTAAGCACATTTTTTTATATATATGCAAAGGATTTGAATTGATGTACCTTTTTCGTGGTATTTAAAATACTTTTGCCTAATCTGCTGGAAGAAGGTCTCACATGGGGAAGTGGTTTCTCTAGTCCTTTGGTACTTGGATGTCCCTTTCCACCACTGGAACTAGCAATAAACAAACAGGATATTGTCATTAAATAACAATATACTTGACAATCACAGCTTCAGTACAGATTCGTTTTAAAAAGGGGGCGAGAAAGATAGAGTCAATTATACTTAAGTGTTCCTTAGATTTATGGGATTTCTCATTTATGCTTCACTAAAACTTTTTCATGCATATTTGGTAGTCCCTTTTAATTTACATGCCACATAAGTGCTTAATTCACAAATAGATAATTCAACAGTAATACTTCACACTTTTAAAGCACTTTCTGAGGATCTCAAAGCAATTTACAAACATCAGTAATTAACCATATTACTATTGTTTTGCATAGTACATTGAGGAGCTGGTTCATGACTGGGACTAGGTGGTTCCACAATACAACTTAAGTAATGATGATAATATGCAGTAGTAAGAATATAGCAAGCCAAATCTTGCTTGCCTTTTTTATATGCATAGTGCCAGTGATGCTCAAGGGATTACTCATGAGGATGTAAGCAGAATTTGGCTCAGAATGTGCAGTTTGTTACAATAGTAATAGAAGCTATTTCACAACAGTGGCACAAAGCAAAATTCACAGTTTTGTGTGATTACAGGTTGGTGCTTAAATCAAGAGCAAAAAAATCCCACACATGTTCAAAATGAATGATATGCACTACTGATCTGGACAATTTGACATTATAAACCAGAGAGTAGTCCCTTAAATAAATCAGAGACACTCTCTCTGGGGCCACATTAGAAAAAAAATATTTTAACATTTAAAATAATGTATTCTCTAAGAATAAGAAAAGTTGCATCTGCATTGCACATGAGAAATATACCTTATTTTAAAAAAGAATGCTTGAAAATGTCACTTCAAAACAGCAACCATATTCTGTCTGCTTTCAGATGGATTGCAGTAAAATTCACTTCTGTCAGTACATAGTACTCATTTTTAGTTGAAGTCAGTACAGTGTGTTTTGTTTGGAAAAATGATGTTTTGTCACTTGAATGGGTTATAAAATAATGAAAGGAAGTCCCAGGCCCTCCAGCATGGAAACAATCACCTCTAACTTTGTGACCTGCACATAAACTATTTGATCATCTGTGCTGTTGTGAATAAACAAATAGATACATGAAAAGGAAGTAAATGACAACCTGGCTAGCCCTAGGATGACCAGATGTCCTGATTTTATAGGGACAGTCCCGATTTTGGGGTCTTTTTCTTATATAGGCTCCTATTACCCCCGCACCCCACCATGCCATCCCGATTTTTCACATATGCTGTCTGGTCATCCTAGCTACCCCACTGAATCACACAATCAGTTAGCTACTAATCTGCAGTAATTACATATTTCCCTAGCAAAGAGAAAAAATAATTTCCTTACATTACCATTCCTTTGTGGGTTTCATGGATTTGGCTGTCCTTTTTCAGCGTCCCTCGCTGCAGTAGTAAGAGGTAATCTTGAATGCCTGGTCCCATTATTATTCCTTTTAAAGAGTATTTGCAAGTTGCACCTTTTTTTTTTTTTACATCATTTTCCACAGTCTTAAACAAAGGACTCCAACCTTTTCTGCCTATAAGATAGAGTGGAGTGGATACAAATATCACCACATCCTGTGGATGCAGTAAGCAAACACCATGCACCCCCCCCACACACACACACACGTGATTTAATGTTTTATAACAGTAGGATAAAAATACTCAGCTAGCCAGCTGCACTGGAAAACAACATTTCCCTCCCCCAAAGCTTGCTGAAGGAGCAGCTGCATTATTCATCTTTGATCTTTGTTGGGCTGTCACCACCAGGGCTATTGAATGGAGAGCAGCACCGTGCCCCTCCACCCTCCCTGAGGAATAGGTTGGCCATTAGAATTGCAAAGCATTGTGGGTCAAGGACAGCAGGGAGATACGCATACTTTTCTAGAGGAAGCTCGGTGGCTGCTGCTGCAATATTTATCAGACACAGCCTGTCATTCACTCCTGCCTACCATACCCTGGATTAGGGGAGGCTGCGCTAGTACCATCCCAAAGCATGAGTGCCCCTGGGAATCTGTTGACAAACATGGCTCTGCACGATCACTTGTAAAGGTAGAGGGCTGCATTTAAATGCACAGCAGCCCTGGAACCGTGACCCTTCGTACGCTCCGTCGTGATTTAATTTCCTCTTGCACAGAAGCATTAGGTGGAGCTGAGTGTCATTTCCCAATAACTCTCTGCTTTTACAGTAACACGAACAGGTGATCAGCCACCTGTGCTTTCCCTTTGACCTAGCCTTTAGTTAAAAAAAAAAATGCATAGACCTTGTATATATTTGTAGACACTGGCAAATTTTAACACTACATCCATTTCATTTTTGGCTCCTCCTTCCAAAATTAAATCCTAAGTAAAGTCTGAATTCTATATCGAAAATGCCTGGACTGGAGCAGTCTATGGATGCTCTCTCTTATTCCCTTGAAATTGCATTCTCTGGACCAGGAATAAAGAGAGGGAGGTGATGTAATTTCCAGGTGACAGACAACCAATTCCAAAATTCCATCCCCTCACCTGTCCTTAGTTCTGATCATGTTTCTTAAACATTTCGCTCCTCTCCATAAGAAATCTCATCCCTTGGACCAGGACAAAGGACACGTGGGGGATGAGATTTCTGATGCGTTTCTCTGCCATCCTTCAGCAATTGTTTCAACCACTTGTCCTCAGCCCTCTCAAGGGATGCAATTTCTGATAGAGCGAAACATCTCATAATTTGCACCTCATCTATTCTTGGCCCTGTTCCACAGGGGAGCAGATTTTGACAAGTCTCTCACCCTTTTGAGAATTTTGCATCACTTGTTTGCTTTAAAAGTGATGACTTTTTTGTTACTTTTAGTAAATATTACATTTTACTTGGAATGTTTCAATAATTCTAATTATATTCCAGATGGGAATAATTTTTAAATGGTACTCTATAAAGGTATAATGATGAACATTCTGTTGGCAAGGATGCCCAGTTAAAAGTAATATTCCTACCCTGATTTCTGTCTATGTGTCTGTCCCTTTCCCATAGCTGTCCCACCAGAAAAACTGAAATACTGTCATTACAAAAAAATTAGGACCAGATCCTTGCTCCCAGTAAGAGTACTTTGTGCCGTTCCAGCTAACAAAGCAGCCTTCAAGATGATCTAAGTGGCCAGCTGGGGATTCTCCTAGTATGATACAGAATTTCCAGGGGCATAAGACCAGTGTAGCAATGGTAACTGCAGATGTTCATCCCCTTGTTAATTCATGCCAATTATTTTGGCAGTCAATAATGTCCTTAACTAGTCTGTCACATTCCCTCTACCCCTTCTGCTCTACCAGTGACACCACTATTAACATCCCTTCATCCCCACACACAAACATCTCTGCACCATCTCTACAAATATGCCTGGAACACTCTCCTACAACCTATTTTTCAAGTCACTGTGGGGAAATTTTCCTAAGTGGCTAGTGATTTGGGATGCTTCCCTTTTTGAATGCCCAACTTGAGACACCTTAAAGAGGCCTGATTTTAAGAAAATGCTGAAAACTCATCTCTGAAAATCAGTCTTAAGTTGGACCCCACAAAAAACTGAGCCATGGAAAATCAAGTCACTTTTGACAAACTTGGTCTAACTCTCTCCCAAAAATTCACTTTTGCCACAAAGCCTGAAAGAAGTGAACTATAAAAATGTAAACTTAAAAAAAGTTTGCTAAAAATTTGCATGAAGTGAGTTACATGATCATGTGGATTTAAACTTGTCTATTTCATCCCTTTCTGCTATAATTTGTTCTCTCCATCCTTTGTTGTCATTTTAAACTTCTAAACTATAAGTGCTTCAGGGCAGAAACCACGTGAAGATCCTTGCACACCTGTCCTCTTAATACAAATAATAAATTATGGTTTTTTGTTTGCAATCTTTTATTGTTTTGTGAGAGTAAATGTATACACAGCTTTTAAGTGTTCAATACATTCCGTTGCTAGCTCTTTGGGGGCAGGGACTAAGAATTATTTTGTATTTGTGCAGCATCTAAAAAAAAAGGCACCCCAAATTTAATTGGAGCCTTTGGACACCAGCCGAAGATATTAATAAATAATGGCAAGATCTCCAGATTATCAAATCAGTGAGGGGAAGGTACCTAACTTAAAAACAGCTGCAAAGCAATATCCAAGATCCTCTACTAGCTTTGAAATGGTTATTGGAAGACTCTGTCAATGAACAAATGCTAAACTCTCAGAGGCAGGGCAAGGCCAGCCTTTTTGCTGTGTTTATAGACTGCCTTGCACAATGGTCCAGGACTGGGGCTCCCAGGTGCTATCACAGTGCAGAGTCGCATTAACTTTTTGTCGTCCCGGCGCCAAATGTGTTTGTGGGCCGCCCTGGGGAACAATTGTAAAAAAACAGGCAATGGACACAGGAGTTATCTTGGACACAGCGCACAGCTGCCGAGCACAGGTTTTATTTAAGAGTTTAAGTTGCAGGTGGAGGTGGCTACCACTAGGGTTCCAGCAATGGTAGCCCAAGGGCAAAAAGAACACACACAAGTGCACGTAAAATTAAATTACAAAAGAAAAATACAAAATTAAACACGGTGGGTAAAAATAGCTAACAAAAGCCAAAGCTGGCCAAAACACCAGCCAGGTGCTGCTCCCACTAAAAGGAAAACTTCACACTATCTCACCCTTCACATTTCTCATATGAACTACCAGGGCTTGAATTGATTTTTTTTGTATGAAACTGGGGCAGATTTAAAACATTTAAAAATATGAAAAACCATAATATATTTTATTTACAGCATTATTATTCATACTAGTCTTGCTTGTCTAACAAGTACATCTGCCATACTTGAAAGAACCCAAGGAAGAACCTCCATTAGGAAACCCTCTTTAAATCTGATTGATGGGTTAACAGCAGGATGCTGCCTTTGCAGTAGAAGTGAGGGAAGCAGGTGAACTGTGAGGAAAGACTGAGATCTAAAAAGATATGGGTTGGCAGCCACCCTTTGAGAAAAAGTTAAGGGATATTAAGATGTTACCCAGTTTATTAATTATTATTACTGGAGGATGTTCATGCTAAAAGTAAAAAGCCAACCTTTTTTGCTCTAGTCAAACAGCATTTGCATTGTAACAATTTAAGTTTCACGAATCACCCATTGTAGTTTACCCACACATACAAACCCTATCACACATGAGCATTACAAGAAAAGAATTAACCTGGCTTAACTGCACTGACATTATTACTTAGCCTCTTCTCTCATGGTGTGTTGAGGGATAGATATGAAAGAGGTTTATTTTTCATTTTAATGAACATTTCATATACTTAACATTTAGATTAAGTTCTCTCCCCTTCCTCCTACACACACACACTTTTGACTGAAGCATTATTCACCCCATTACTAACACTGCATCAGTATATTTTAGGGCTGTCAATTAATCACAGGTAACTCACGTGATTAACTCAAAAAATTAATTGCAATTAAAAAAATTTAACGCGATTAATCACAGTTTTAATCGCACTGTTAAACAACAGAATACCAATTGAAATTTATTAACTATTTTGGATGTTTTTCTACATTTTCATAAGTATTGTATTCTGTGTTGTAATTGAAATCAAAGTGTATATTATTTTTATTACAAATATTTGCACTGTAAAAATAAACAAAAGAAATAGTATTTTTCAATTCACTTCATACATGTACTATAATGCAATCTCTGTCCTGAAAGTACAACTTACAAATGTAGATTTTTGTTGTTACTTAACTGCACTCAGAAACAAAACAATAGAAAACTTCAGAGCCTACAAGTCCACCCAGTCCTACTGCTTGTTCAGCCAATCGCTAAGACAAACAAGTTTGTTTACATTTACAGGAGATAATGCTGCCCTCTTCTTATTTACAATGTCACTAGAAAGTGAGAACAGGCATTTGCAAGACACTTTTGTAGAAGACATTTCAAGGTATTTATGTGCCAGCAGCATTATCTCCTGCAAATGTAAACAAAATTGTTTGTCTGAGCGATTGGCTGAACAAGAAGTAGCACTGAGTGGACTTGCAGGCTCTACAATTTTACATTGTTTTATTTTTTAATGCAGTCTTTCTTGTACATAATTCTACATTTGTAAGTTCAACTTTCATGATAAAGAGATTGCACTACAAAACTTGTTTCAGGTAAATTGAAAAATACTATTTCTTTGGGGGTTTTTTATAGTGAAAATATTTGTAATAAAAAATAAATATAAAGTGAGCACTGTATACTTAGTATTCTGTGTTGTAATTTAAATTAATGTATTTGAAAATGTAGAAAACATCCAAAATATTCAAATAAATAAATTCTATTATTGTTTAATCATGGGATTAATCTGCTTAATCGCTTGACAGCTCTAGTTTATTTTAGAAAGCTGACAAACTGTGGAATGGTATAAAGGCATCCAAGGCTGCAGATGTGCCAGTTTAGCATTCAGCTCCCGCGCCACACACCGCTCCGAGTCCCAGTGTGCATTTAACCTTCTAGCTGTTAGAAATTTGACCCCCTCCCACATAGGTGGAGCACAGTAGCAGGCCTATGATTTTTCCTCTTGCCTCAATTCACTCCATTGAGGCTTCTGTCAAGCAGGTTCTCACCTTGCAGGGGCAGAGACTCCGAGATTGAGGGGGAACACATACCACTTGCTCCTTTATTCTGGTATTCTCCTTTCTAAATTAACCCCCTTACCCCCCAGCGAGAGAAGTTTTATGGTAATTTCTACAGGAACATAACATGCCATTCACTGCAACAGTACCATGAAGCTTTTCAGTTGCAATATCATCACAGTGTAACTGAAGCT